AGAGAGAGAGAGAGAGAGAGAGAGAGAGAGAGAGAGAGAAGAGAGAGAGAGAAAGAAGAGAGAGAGAGAGAGACCTTTATATCTCGTGTGGCAAAGAGTAGTGGCATGATTGTTGATGCTATCTATATGCATGACTTGAACAAGAATAATTAGTAGTGAAAACTTTTAAGCACGTGGGTTTTCAGCTAGCTGATTTGCCTTTTCAGCGAAAGTATTCGCAGTGTTTTTTTTGTGGTGAAATGTAGCAGAATGTATGTGTATACCACAAGGCGCGGTCGCATTAAATTAAATTCCAACCTGATTTTCGTCAGTTGACAATTACTCACAGCCACCAACGTTTTCTTGGGCTGCGATCTCTGTGATACTTAGATTAAATCGCAGTGCACATACATGACTAGACCGGTCCCTAGCTCAGGAAAAATCAATATATCGCTTAGAGACATTGATGTCAGTCTATGTTCAAAGCTGCCGACGAATGGATAAAAAATTCAGGCATCTTGCGGCATGACTAGACGCAGCTCTCTACAAAGGACCCAGGCCGCGTCAGCGGTGATTTAGCAGCCAATGCTTCCGTCTACAGCCTTGCAATCTCACTGGGGTTAAACATGGCAAGTGGCAAACCCACAATAATGGCAGGAGTTAATAACATCAAATATGCTCGCGTAGCTGCGATGGCTGTCGAATTTTGTACTACGCGCCGCGCGTCACTTTTGTTGTTATTATCGGTGTCATAAATATTTAACACTGAGGGGACTTTATTTTCCATTTCACAACTTTGGCTACAACCCAAAGTAATCTGAAAAGTATTACACCAAGTAGAGACCGCTTTCAAAGACCAGTGCTGGTACCCTAAAGAATATCCTCCGGCTTCTGTCGTGTTCGCTTCGGCCATTGAAGCATGTCATGTAATTTTGTTTTCATGTTATAGTAGTCATGTTGTGCTATTAGTGAAGGGTCCTCTAGGTACCATTGCACAACAGCAAACAAGGACATATGGGACCATGCTGATATTTAAAGAGCTTTTGAAGCCGAGGTTTATACTTCATGTGTGCTGTATCTCTTGAGATATTGTTAATATAAATGTTGAACAATATACGTTTATTCTTAGACATGTGTAGCAGTGTTAACCGATGCAAATAATTGTTATATAATATCTGGGTTCACTTACTCTAAACTACAGTACATGCAGCTAATTTAAAAACCTTACTTTTAATTAAAAAGACCAATGATACATATATCTTTAATGATCTGTGATGGTTATTACGCCGTTTAATTCAGAAAAAAAATGTATTGCACGCCGCTTAACAACCGTTACTACAATGAGCTTGCACATCTTTATTTGTTCTAACGGGCACAAAAGTTATGTTTTGCAGCTTTAGAATTATAGCTTTATAATCATTACATATGCCGCTCTCTACCACCTCGAGTCGCACGTCCTATAGCTATGATTTCAGGATCTACGCTCTCTCTCTCTCTCTTATTATTATTATTATTATTATTATTATTATTATTATTATTATCACAATTTGTGCAAGTATGTCAGAATAGATTTAACGCATCTTACGTATTGCACACGTACGATTGATGTCTTTGTTATATAGGAAGCAAGATTACAAAACAATTATGCGATAGATGTAAAGTTCAGATGCGTACTGGCTGACGTCCAACGTTTTTCATTGAAACTGTTTAGCTCAGAGTTTCATCTAATCGACAGCAATGCTTTCATTACCCGGAAGGTTTTCACTGCTGTATACGAACGTAAACTCAATATCCGCCAGCGACAATCGTATCCCACGTCGGGAAACGAAAAAAAAATTGAGAACAATACTGTCAGATGACGATGTGGCATCAATTTCCTGACGCGAAAGAGCAATGTCATTACTTCATCATGTCGCGTCAAATACGCGTCATTTATGACGATATCTTGTATCAAATCCAGCCCCATAACGACACTGACGAGAAGTATATTTTGGGAAAAACGTCTAGATCTCCTAGCGTCGCAGTCCAATTTCTCTCCAACAATAACAGCATTTGCTGTAAGCCGTTAATCCGCTTAATCCCGAACATTTCAATACAACGCGTTTAATACATATAGCACACCAAGCCGTAGGCTGCGACGCCACGCGAGTCATCATTTATAAGCCAAAACGTATATTATAATAGCATAGTTTAACAGCCGCTACAACGTCGCGTTTATAATGACGTGTAGTGTATTGCGAGTAATTGCTTGATGTGTCCAGCAGTCACATTTCGTCGATTGCAAACTACAACTCGGTGTTGAATTCCATTTTCTCAACGCGCATCCATGTAAAATAAAACTGTATCGACTTGAACGCAGTTTCTTCGTACAGCACAGGTATTTTGTTCGCACAATGTTCAAGCACCGCTATCTGAAATAAAATCTTTGAATATCAGAAGCCCGACTGCGTTAGAGCCGCGTATAGCGTGAAACTAGATAAAGTTCTGCTTCTCGTCTACGACGTTTGTTTTACATTCAATGAATCTATACTCATTTAAATTTCTACACTTCCGCTTTTAACATTTACTGTTACAACACTAACGCACGACGCCGCCACCAGTTGTTGGAAACGAGACGACAACGAAGTAGTATTTTTGTGCAGCACATTTTTAAAAGTACCACACGTGCATTTACAGGAGCTGGTCGATGGCAAGCCGGATGAGAGAAACTGGAGAGGTATTGGCATCGCAGTGCTCGTCATCCTGGTGGTATTCGCCATGATTATTACGGCCGTGGCTGTATTCACCCCCGGTAGGTACTACCAAGCAGCAATATATAGGCCTATATACATCTACACACATATATTATATATATATATATATATATATATATATATATATATATATATATATATATATATATATATATATATATATACCTTTCTCCGAATAAGTCTTTTCATCACTAAACATCTCAGCTATCCATTAATCACAAAATATACTCCATTTGTTTTCGCAATGTGACATGTATATCCCCTAACGGCAAAGCACACGCCAGTGGGGTCACCCGGCCATATCTTCCCGAGCGTGACACGAGCTAATCCAGGGGATCGAGGCCGTACTTAGCGTATAGTGTGGAGTTATGCTGTGAACCGTGTTACCTTCCTAGATAGGCCTACGTGATAATGAGCTCCTTCTCAGTAGGGAAATTAAACTATAGAAGAAGTTGGGGTAGGCAGATAAAAAATATATGACTACATGGCCCCAAGAGGTCATACCTTTTCCAATAATTACAGGAGTCTATCAATAGTTAATCATAGTCTATTGATAGACTCCTGATAATTACGTAATTTGTTCTGGCCACATCAAATAGGGACGATCGTGGGCCCTGCATTCATATAAAACCTTCGCATTCCCGTACCGGTGGCAATATTGCGAGTATCTGCACGTTGGTCCCATATGTAGGAGATGCGGAATATTAGCTAGGAATCAACGAGAAATGATTGGTCATAAAGCAGCTAATTATTTTGATTCATATCGCAAGGGAATATCTAGATTAAACTACACTGTGTTCATAATGGCCCTTATACAGAGGAGACTTTGCCGTCGAGAGACGAAGTAGACGTATAGGCTACAGTAACTTGCATGAAGTTGAAAGATACGATACTGCTTTAATATTAGGCCTACTGTAACACAAACACACGACACAATAATTTAATCAGCTGAGCTTATACGTAGAATCTTTTCTTTGTTTATTTCACAGGAACAAGATAGTTCTTACCTGCCTGATTTAATAAAAATCTACAATGTTCACGAATGCAGAGGTAATTGCTCAGAAAGACAACAATTGTCCGCATCTAAACACCACGTTACGTACACATTGTGTGGTTACTCGAGAATAAACCAAAAGCTAGAACGTATTGAATTTAAGCTATGCATGAAGCACACTTACCCAGCACAAGATTCGCGTTAGGAAATACACAGCAAGTTACAACAAGGAAGTGACAGCAAGGAAGAGACAGCAAGCGAGTGAAAAAAACGACAGCAATCGAAAAATCGAATTCTCATTCCTTATTCAACTGTCACCATTGAAAATTAGTATGTCGAGTATTCACTAAAACCCCACCTACATTGTATTAACATTTTCTTACTAAATGTTATGCGATTTTTTATCAGGAATTTAGTATTGATAGTGTAGTATTATTATCGTAGGCAGCTATTTGATGAAGTATTGTTGCATGTCATAGCCTGCCAGGACGTGCAATTAATCACGAGCTGTCAGTTACCATGGATACACATGCTGTCCTCACATTATGCTCCATTACCTGGTCTAACTGTGTGCTTTATCATTGAGGGTATTGCATTTAATGAACCAACATTTATACAACGAACACAGTTGCTCTATATTGAGCAAGAATGAAATGTGCATAATTTCATATCGCCTGCGCTCGAGTCATAAACATATGTGCGTTTCTAAACATTATACAAGATATGTCATATGCTTCTAATAACAATCAAGCTTGTGCGCAGACCATCTCAACGTTTAGTTCGATAATATATATATATATATATAAATATATATATAATAAATTGTTGAGAGAGTCTCGATTTTGTTTGAAACATTTGGGTGCCTGGCATTCCGTGTCATCCAACATAGTCACTGCGTGGTCTGTGCTGTACAGTGACAGTGATGTATTGTGCGCACATATTGCACTCTATTTGGCCCAATCTCATGCTGTTTTGTTACATTGGTTCGTTTGCTTATCTGGGAAACAAACTTCAATCTCTTGTTTTTGAAACATTAACTAACAATAGTATCCTATTATACCTTTAGTTATACCGTGGGATTCGTATAAATTAACCAGATTTATATGATATGTACGGCAAGTCTGTTGCCAAAGGTCACTCTCTGATTGGCTGGAGCCGTTGCGTTGACAACGCTGTTATGGGTTTAAGTACATCTTAATGAATAGGAATACCCCAGACAGAAGACCGAAAAGATGCAAACAGTGTTTGCTTCTGTCCGTGTCATTGATATTCACATAATCGTCATCATAATCGTCGTCGTTGTCGTCATCGTCAGCATTTACAATTACACACTTTGCTAGCAATGGGTTGCGTCAAATATCCGGCACAACGTAGTGTATCCTGTTATTGGTGGCTGCTCGCAGAGATAACAACGTCAACTATAGCAAACATTACGTCAATATACACAAGGAAATCCATTAGAAGGATTCGCCTCCAAGGAGAGAATGATATGGCGCTTCGGACGTGAAACAACTGCGTAATAAATAAATCTGTATAATAGTTTTATTTTCCTACAGCGGATCGAATATGCAACTTTCGAGACTGCATGTGGAATTTGCCAAAACTCCGTATGTCACGTAATCAGCGATACACAGACGTGACCAGATCATCTCAATGGAACAAGAGGATTTTCAGGAAAATTAATTCGACTTCAAAGTCTAATAAGATATTGGTGTAGGCATATGCGGTGATTGGCGTGATGAACTCGATAACGCGGTCACCTGACGATATTAACCAATCAGAGTCTGTAGGGTACGCTAGCTGGATAACGCAGTCACATAACGATAATAACCAATCAGATGTTGGTGAACAGAATTGGCAAATCTGGAAAAATGCAAACGCAGTGAATGCGTGGTAAAATGTCAGTGTAAAAAGTACTGGCAAAAGGTATAGCGTTCTATAGCTCGTCAGACTAAGCGCAAGATTATGTTCACACCAGGGTAAAACACACATGTTTACAAAACACTTCATCACGTGTTTTCGCCGTTGGTCGCAGAGAGGCATTAAGATTAATGTTCCTAGATTTAACGGAGTCAACGACTGCAATACTGTAGCTGGTTATCATTGACTCACACTGCGGGCAGATGCGGCGGCGGCGGTGGTAATAGCAGTTTTATAATTATAGGTATTATTATAGTAGTAGCAGTTTTAGCAGTATCAGTAGCAGTAGTGGTCGTAGTAGTCGTGGTAGCTGAAATCGTAGTCGTTGTCGTAGTTGTAGTCGTAGTAGTCGTGGTAGCTGAAATCGTAGTCGTTGTCGTAGTTGTTGTCGTAGTAGTCGTGGTAGCTGAAATCGTAGTCGTTGTCGTAGTTGTAGTCGTAGTAGTCGTGGTAGCTGAAATCGTAGTCGTTGTCGTAGTTGTAGTCGTAGTAGTAGTAGTAGTAGTAGTAGTAGTAGTAGTAGAAGTAGTAGCGGCAGCTGCAGTAGCAGCAGTAGCAGCAGTAGCAGCAGTAGCAGCTTATATATGTTACAGGTAATTGTGCGATGTTGAACATTCTACAGATAGTAGTGACTTGGGCAATCTTTCTATATTGACAATACATTTTAGGGACTCTTAGCTACTAAACATTGTATTATTCTAGGTAAGTAGGCGCAACTAGCAACTGTGCACTAAACTACATAATAAGATTGAATTCGATATCGGGTATTGCAAATACTCTAATAATGATTTCGTAACAGGATGTTGTGGCTGTGCACGATTGATTTGTTTAATTTTAGAGATTATATACGTGCTACTTAAAATCCATACTTTAAAGTTACAATTGGTTGCTATCTTTAGATTGCGCAACACATTTTTGTGTGTAACATATACAAACTCCTACAAACAGACGCGTTCTCATGTGAATATTATTATTATTATTATTATTATTATTATTATTATTATTATTATCACAAT